TCATATAGAATGGGGTTGTCCCGTTGCTATTAGCATTCAGGCTTCAACTGAGGAAAATGATAGTTATGGTTAGACTTTAACGTCGTCTGATTGTAAGTATATAATAAAATATAACACTAAACATATGAATATATTTTAATTTATGAATTTAGATAAAAAAAGTTAAAATACTTAATATTAAATTAAAATAATAAAAATATAAAAAATAATTAATTTTTTAATTTGTTGATTAGGGTGTTCAATTTTTGACTTTGATGTTCAATTTTCGATTGATCAAATCTGGACAATAAAAACAAGTGAAAAGGACAACCTTGCGAATATTGTCTTCCGTTTCATTTGGGCTTTTCAAAGGCCAACAATTTTGGAAGTGAAGGCCCAAAACAAAATTAAAATGATACATCCCATTCCGGGACCCAGCCCAAACTGAGAAAAGCCCAAATCCAAACACTAGGGCTAACGTCATCATATATGAATTAATAAAAACAAAGAAAAAGAAGCCTCTTGTCTCTTACCTTTTTTCAGGAGGACCTGGTAAGACGAGGAAGATGGTGTCGCTAAAGCTCCAGAAGCGGCTGGCGGCGAGCGTTCTCAAGTGTGGGAGAGGCAAGGTTTGGCTGGATCCAAATGAAGTCAATGAAATCTCCATGGCCAACTCACGTACGTTTTTCCATCCCTGATTTAGCTTTTTCATCATTTTTTACAATCGGTTTAGAACCTGATAGATGACAGGTTTGGCACTTTTTAATGATCTTGAGCTGAATTATATACTGTTTGGATGCTGAGAAACTATGATATGTAGGCTACTATGGAAGTGGAATTTCAGATATGTAGTTTTGACATAAGATTTTTGAAAAATGGATAACCTGTCTCGAAAGCTGTTTCTGTTGATGTTCTGTTTGTTTTTGCACATATTATTGCTATTTCTTATGTGTGTTGTTTGACATGTTTGGATTTTCAAGTGCAGGCCAGAACATCAGGAAGCTGGTTAAGGATGGGTTTATCATCAGGAAGCCAACCAAGATTCATTCTCGAGCCCGTGCACGTCGAATGAAGGAGGCAAAGAGGAAGGGACGCCACTCTGGATATGGTATCGTTTTCTCTCGATGAATTTGAAATTATGAGGTTTTTTGGACTCTTGGTTAAATATGGATACAGTTTTGTTGTCTGATGGACTGCAGAGTATAAGTTCTTTAATTCTTACACGTATCTTATATTGTTGGAGTTAGTGGAATCAGGATTCCACATATTTGGAGTTTAATAGTTCAGACACTTTGATGATTTTAGGGAGAGAAAAGAGTCTAGACTGTTGATTTTATTTTTTTAATTTGAACTTTTCTAATTCCCTTTCTAGGTAAGCGCAAGGGTACAAGGGAGGCTAGGTTGCCAACAAAGGTCTTGTGGATGAGAAGGATGCGTGTTCTTAGGCGCTTGCTCCGCAAATACAGAGAATCAAAGAAGATTGACAAGCACATGTATCATGATATGTACATGAAGGTGAAGGGTAATGTGTTTAAGAACAAGCGAGTTCTAATGGAGAGCATCCACAAGTCCAAGGCTGAGAAGGCAAGAGAGAAAACTTTGTCTGACCAGTTTGAAGCTAAGAGGGCGAAGAATAAGGCAAGCAGGGAAAGAAAGATTGCTAGGAGGGAGGAGCGTTTGGCTCAGGTAAATAATTCATTCACTGGAGGCCTCTGGTAGTTAACTTGACTTATTTTGGATATTGATGGTATTTTCTATACTTTTCAGGGACCTGGAGCAGACAAGCCACCAGCAGCTGCCCCTGTTGCTGCAGCCCAACCTGCTGAGTAAGTATACCATAGGATTTTTCCTTGTGTTTACCATTGGATGATTGTTTTTGAGTGGAAATGTGACTTTTCAGGGGTTTTATTTTGCAGGGTTTCTAAGAAGTCCAAGAAGTGAGATCCTAGTGAAGATTTGTGAAGGACTTATGACTTTAGAGAGTCTGTTTCTTCGGTTAGTAGTTTTGTTGAGCCATGGTGCTGTATTTTTGGGTAATATGGATGTTGAGTTGTTCCTTTACATGATAGATGGAAAAGTGTTCCTTCAGATGACTTGTTTGTCTGCTTTTTCTAGATTTCATAATGTCGAGTTTATTTCCTTCTGGTTCATTATTTTCAATGTTAAAAATTAGTTTTGCACGGATGAGTTATGGAATGGTTTTCAATGTGAAAATTCACGAACAAGATGATTAATCAAGACCTTAAGTAGGAGCGTGCATTTTATCAGTACTTGAGTTGCAGATTTGTATTCCATGAAGAACGCAACATAAGAGAGATAAAGATGGTTCCAAATTCCGGTGTTATGGCACTCTAATTGCTTGAGTTGCTCACTTTTATCCATTAATTCTCAAAATTAGTTGCATCGGTTATGGCATAAGTTTAATATATACACCGGTATAAAATTAGAGGACATATCATTTATCTAGCTAAACACAACAGGAATCCTATAGTAACGGTTAGGCAGATATTATCATATATCACTCCAATTTGAAATGTAAACGTCTTGCTTAAACTCACGTATAAGCTATAACAAAATAAGGCTACCTATCATCTTGGTTCATAGGTAATTGTTGACAACCATTTAAAATTCAAAATGAATTAAAAATCAAGTGTGAAAATGTGAAAAAATAAGGAGTTGTCATCCATACGTGTATTCTTTCATTACCTTTCTAGAGGGAATCGTTCCTTTTTTGCTCTCTTTACCTTCTTGGGGGAAACGTTCCTTGGGATTAAGAGGGCTTTATTGAGGCATCTCCGACTAAAGGTCTTCAATTTGCTTGTGGAAGCCTTCCTGAAACAAGTCTAGAATTTCTGAATGCAACCAAGCATGCTTGATACTGAACTGCTTTCAGCTTTCCACCTTCAGAAACACTAATAAGTTTGGCAAAACCATATCAGTCCATCCAACATGGATAGATTTGCCTAACACCTGCTGCTCTTCATACAGTAAAAGACGGTTTTCACTCGTGGAGTCCCTCCAGGAGTGTTCTAAATCGTCCACAGCTCCATAAGTCCATGAAAAATCCCTGCTCCTTATTGTCACTAACATTTTGATTAAAAAACAGCTGAAGAAGTTGCTTCCTTAGCTTGGACATTTCCTGCATGGTGTTAAAATGCAGTGCATTTTCATAAAAGAATTCCACATGGCCTTTAGAAAGTTCAAATGCATAAGCAATTATTAGAGCATCACTGCTATGGTTAGAAAATTTTGCACGGGATGCTCTGTCAACTTCTCTAAGTTCCTATTTCTTGTTTCTGTCCGATTCTCTCATTATCTAGGGCACTGGATCCATTATTCTGCTTTGAGTCATTGGTGTTTGCCTTCATTCTGCATGATAAAAGGATTTGACAAGCTCAAAGCTGCAGCTGCTGCAACTGCATATCCAAAGATTAGATTTGGCCAAGCATAACTTTCCACCTCCATAATTTGAATAACAGTGAGAATTATCCTTGAGTGTTGGGACTCATGGGTAATGAGCCATGCATGCTTTTCCCAAAGGTGTCAGTCTTCCACCACGATCAAGTGCTTCAAAAGCCTTCGGGCAACACTCCACTTCAACCAAAGCAGTGGCCTCAGGAGTAGTCGAGAATGGGAAATTTCCAACCTGAAAACATACATCGGGATAATATTAGAAAGAGGAACATCCCAACATTTGAATACAAATTAAATATGAAACAGGTAGACCACGGTAAATATTAGTAGCATTTAAATTATAAGATACACATGAAGGGGAAAGACATATCAATTCAAAGAGCACATCTTAAACAAGACAAATTTTGACACAGCCTTTCAGTTGGATACAAAAATATCTTGAACAATAAAGACCAAACTATGCATGATGCTCTACCAGGGGTTAATGTCAGAATATGGAACACTGGAACGTTCATTATGGACCTATTCAGGTAACTTGGTAAAAGAATTTGTCTTGGTCTAGAATAAACTTTCATGACTACAGTTAAGTTTGTTTCTCTTTTTTTTTTTCTTTTTTTTTTAATAATAATATTATAGGTCAAATTTTTGTAAAGGAGAATGAAAAATTATGCAACAAAGATAAAATAGAAGTTACAAGACCATCGCATCATACGTAGTTATGTTAATAGATAACATGAGCCTTGTAGAAAGAAGTTAAAATCAAGCAATAAAATACATGCTAACCATAACTTTTCAATACCCAGGGACGGAGCCAATGGGTGCAAGGGGGCGCTTGCTCCTCTAGACTTTTGAGAAAAAATTAAATAGATCCTATACTTTTAGAAAATTAAATAAAGCCTTCTTTAAAAAAATAAAAGATGTGTTTTAATTTTTATTTTTTGATAGGTCTTAATGTAATGCTTTTAGACCTAAGTCAGAGGTCAACCTGTTTTGACCTTTAATTTTGGTTAAATTAGTTTAATTGTTTAAACTACCAGTTTAACCAAATAATATTATAAATAAATTTTTAAAAATTATATATAATAAGTAGATATTTTTTTTTGTCAAAAACACATCCACCACTTCTGGTCATGAAGTAACAGCCTCTATATTTATTTAATAGATTTGAAGTTTGAGTCTTTTTTTTTTTTTTGTTCTTTTTTTGAACTTGGGTAATGTACTATTAATTAAGTTTAGTTTACATCCTTACAGAGCAGATTAAGTAGAATATTGGGAGGACAATGTGCCCAATACGAGGGGCATTGTCCACTCATTGATGCGCGGGCGACCCAGTCAGCTACCTGGTTGCCAGAGCATGGAACAAAATTGAATCTAAAGCCAAGATTACTGACAAGATTGTCTGATACTCATTATCAAGGTTTGGGCCTCCCATGGTAGAGGCTTTGAAGATTGCTAGATAAAGGAGATTAACACTTGATTATCAAATTCGAAGATGATATCCTGAAAGCCTTTATCTTCAGCAAACTGGATGGCTCTAAGGAGAGCAGTTGCTTCTGCCGATAGTGGGGTTGACGTCGAGTAACGCCAAGTCCTTCTGAAATAGATTTCACCATTCGAGTTGTGTCCAACCATGGCTAGAGCTGCTACCCTCGAATTTGGTAAGAATGAGGCATTTACATTAATCTTGATAATGTCGCATGGAGGCCTGAAGCATGATGATTTGTGCAGCTCATTGGGACCTGGATGGAGATTCCAATAAGTCTTGGTGGTCCAGAGATAATTCTTGAATCATGTGAGTAATACGAGTAAGAACTTGGCTAGGAGAAATTTCAGCCTATTCGAAATATTTCTTGTTTCTGGCCTTCCATATATTCGAGCAAACAACAGCACAGTAATCCAACAAGGTAGAAAAGTGCATTTGTCTAGCTACCCACTTGATATACCTCCACCATTCCACAAGACTACCCACCCCTAGCTGTTGTGGGTCAAGACCCAAGGCTAAACCAAACCAAATTGGTTCCACATGAGGGCAATAAAAGAGCAAATGCATTATGGATTCATCAATTAAATGACAAAAGTGACACGATGCCTCTTGCACAATTCCCATCTTCAGCAAATTATCCATTGAAGGCAAAGAGTTAAGAACAGCTCTCCATAAGAAAACTCGAACCTTAGGAGGCACTTGCATTTTCCATATGTGTTTCCATTTAGTAGATGAAAGGATCAAATTATCATGATTCCTATTAGTTTCATTAGCAGCATGAATTGCAAGGAGATATGCACTTTTTACAAAAAATCTTCCATGTCTATCATAATGCCAAATAAAGGAATCAAAGCACATCCTGGTAGGAATTTTTTGGATTTCCTGACACTCCTCACTGTTGAAACATGTATTAAGCTTGGTAACATCCCACTCCCCATCATGATCAAGTAGTTCACAAACATAAGAAAGTAATGAGTTAGTGATCGGGAGGGAAGTTACCTTAAAACAAGAAGGGTGGGCACCCATTTGTCTTGATAGATCAAAATGTCTTGGACATTTCTCTGAGTTGAACAAGATCCCTTGCTTGCAAAATACTCGACCACGCCCATGATGGATGACTTCCTTTCCTAGCATCAAAAAAGGAAGAGTCTGGAAAATATATGTTTTTAAGCACACGGGCCTATAAGGCATTGGGACTTTGTAGCATCCTCCAAGCTTGACAAGCTACCATGGCCAAATTAAAGCAATAGAGGTCTTTAAAGCCCATACCTCCAACATGTTTGCTTTGAGTGAGTTGGTCCCAACCAACCCAGCATACTTTCCTCTCATTCGTTTGCTATCCCCACAAAAAATCCTTAATAAGTTGGTTGATTTCTCTACAAACACCCAAGGGAAACATAACGCAGGACATTGTGAAGGTAGGAATGGCCATAGCAACTGCTTTAATTAAAACTTCTCGGCTTGCTTGAGATAGCAAGTTTTTTTTCCAATGAGCAAGTTTCTTTTGAATTTTGTCAACCACGTATTTAAGGCTAGCTTTTTAGACCTTCCACAGGAGGTTGGTAATCCAAGGTATTTGGAAATAGTAGATTCAAGTTGAATTCCAAGGCATTCACAGATGGATTCCTGGACTTCCTTTGGGGTATTGGGACTAAAAATTACAGCAGATTTGGAGAAGTTAACTCTATGTCCAGTATAATCCTCGTAGAGTTGCAAAACAGTTTGTAAGTGACTCACCTTCTCTATTATGGCTCGATAAAAAACTAAGGAATCATCTACAAAAAGGAGGTGATTGATTGTAGGGCTTCTCCTTCGAATCTTGTATCCAAAGATCTTCTTTTCTGTTGTTGCTACCATTGATAGACGAGATAAAAGATTAGCAATAAAAAGATAGAGGTATGGGGATAGCGGGTCTCCTTGTCGGAGTCCTCTTAAGGGTACAAAAACAAGGTTTTGATTGCCATTAATTCCCACTGTGTATGATACCATCAAGACACATCGCATTACCATATGGATCCATTGCTCACAAAAGCCATGAGCCCTCAAAATATTTTCCAAACAGTGCCAATCCACACTATCATATGCCTTTTGAATATCTAATTTCAAAGCCAAAACACAATGCTTACCAAATTTCTTAAGTTGTAGACCATGGAAGGCTTCATGTGCAATGAAAATATTATCTTGGACAGCTCAGCCAGGAAGAAAAGCAGACTAAAAGGGAGCTATTGGCTATCAAGATAACCTTTCATGTGATTAGCTAATATTTGAGCAATAATTTTTTAAGAAAAGTTACAAAGAGAGATGGGCCGAAAATGTGAAATCACCTCAAGAGCCTTAATTTTTAGAATGAGGACA